TTTTCCTCTGAAAATACACTTAATGTAGGATCACGCTATTTTAATCGTATTTTAAATTTCCAATGTTGGTAATAAAACAAAACTGTTACGAAAGTAAAGTTAAAAAATAATTCCTAAAACTCTTAATTTATCCGAAATATTTTTTTTTACATAATATTAATTTAATATGAGTTATGACTCATGTTAACTCGTACAATATAATCATTGTAATTTTTCCCTTAAATGAGTTTATATGTTGTAATTAGTAAATGGTTTTAATTAAAAAATTGGTAAATAAAGATTTATAGAAAATTTTTCAAATATTTAAAACCTAATCGCCATAAATTAATGCAAATTAGTTTTTTCACCATTATACATTATACATAATTAATATAAAGCCTAATTACAAGAACTTAATGGTTGCTTATGAAATTTTATTTTCGGTAATTATTTACAATGTTAAAAATAAACTAACTTTTTATTTAATTGTTTTGATGCTATTTTTTTTTTTTTATAAACCTACATTATTTGTATTTATATAGTATAAAAATGCCATATTATAATTAGATAATAATAAATATATGTATATATATATATGTACACACAAAATTTATAGAATTTAAGTTCTTAAAAAACCTTATCATCTCTAAAACATTACACGAATATTACTAGTATTTACCCAACAGAAAACAATATACTGTATGTTTAACCAAAAATACTTTAAATTAGTAGTATGTTTTGGTATGTTCTATACCCCCCGCAAATCCGGTGAATCCGACTACCCCGCCCACCCTATCGCGTACGTACTCCACCATACCCTCGCAACCTTTCAAGGTCTTAACTCTGCAGCCAAACCTAACCTAACTCCTTCCTCCTAATTTATCACGGCAAAATACCTCACCCCTCCTCCTTAGTACCCAGGATTATCGATGTACGTACGCGACCATACTCCACCCTTATCTCAATCCCCTCCCATCGATGCGTTCATCATTACTCCCGCCCAGCCTATAGTCGCGTACGTGCACAAACCATCTCTCCCCATCATATATCACGCACGCCGCGAGCATCCCCCATCATATCACACACGTACCCCAGCCTTTACCTCCTCCTCCTTAACTATCGAACGTACTCCGACCCTACTCTCCCATCCTATCAAGAACGTGCCTGACCTTCCCCTCCTCCCATCCTACTTCCACGAACGCCCGACCTTTCCTCCCATCTCTATCACGAACGTGCACGGACTTACCTCTCATCCTATAACGCACGTGCACTACCTATCACTTGTGTACTTCCTCTTATCCTTTTCCAACTCTCCCATACTATCAAAACCCCCTGAACTACTATAGACCATTGAAAATACTTGATAAGATTTTATTAAAAATATAGGTAGCATAGGTACTATAGATATTTGAAATCAGATATAAAATGCATATGTTTCAAAATAATACATTGGTTAATTATAGTTCATAGAAAGCTAGTAACTGATAAACATTAATAGTTAATATATATAACATGAAATAAGTAATTATTAGCGATAGCTCATTATCTTCTTTCGATGTGAAATATGAAAGTGTCCGTACGTGACATATTATGATAGTAATTACTTATTAACTCTATAACGATTTATAAATTATAGTAAACAAAACGATTAAAACGAATCCTATTCGTTTTTCGATGTATACGCTCATACAGTATACCAGTAGTAACATTATAACAACTTAACATTTTTCTAACACCTTACTGTTACTAGGTATATACGATTTCTCCTTCAGACAAATGTCATTAGGAAAAGATAATTTAAAGATGTATATGTAATGTTTAGTGTGACACGACTTTTCTATTACTTATAAGTAATATTATAAGTATTAATATATTACGATATAATATGGAAAATAGATATTTATCACGTGACTCTTAGCTGTATGGAGGAGGTAGGTGAATTGTATATAAGAGAGTCGATTTCACTCAAAGGAGTTATACTGTTCTTCAAGCTCTTACAGACAATCTACGTGTTACTGACCCAGTGTTTATTACATATCAGTAAAAATGTTCAAGTGCGGTGTTTGTGATAAAGTTTTCACCACGAAGTCTAATATGCTTAGACATAACAGATCGCATAACAATAACAAATTTACATGTCTCGAATGTCAACAAATGTTCAGTCGTCGGGATGACCTCGTAAATCATGTACAGAAAAAACATGGTATGTATTATAATTTAATATTATATAATTGAATAATAATTAAAAAATATTTAATCACTAACAAACATTTTTTATAAAATAGTATAATATTATATAGGAATAAAAGTATATAGGAATAGTAAATAATTGAATATTAGTATATAATAATATCATAGTTAGTTTATATTTTTAATCAAGAGTAAATTAATCACTAACATACATTTCTATAATATAAAATTGTATAACGAATAATATTACATAATATAAAGAAATAGTAAATAATTGAATATTATTATTTTTGTATATAATAATAATAATATCATAAGTTAATTTAGTTATTTATATGAACATTTCATAGTTAATATTAATAATCGACAATTATTCACTGACATTATACATTTCTATAAAATAGTATAATATCAAATGAATATAAAATTATATAGTGAATAATAGTAAATATAAAGGAATAGTAAATAATTAAATATTAGTATATAGTATATAATAATAATAATTACAATAGTAATATCTTAGTTTAATTTAAATATTTAAACGAATATTTCTTAGTTTATATTGTTATTAACAATCAAGAATTAATCGCTAACATACATTTCTATAAAATAGTATAATATTATATGAATATAAAATTGTGTAGTGAATAATATTAAATATAAAGGAATAGTAAATAACTGAATATTAACATTTAGTATAGATATAATAATATAGTATAACTCATAAGAATAATCTTCAATTCTATTATTATTATTTCTCTATATTAGATTTCATTAAACATAACACTGAATACAATAGGGCTATGGGTATTGAGGTCGGACAACAGTCATTAAGTGAGTAGTATTTATATTATATTATTTAAATGTATTAAGATCAATAATAATAATAATAATTATTATTTTATTTTATAAGGTTCGGGTGTCGTAGATTGTGTAGCGTCCTCGTCAAATGCGAATGTTATCATTCCGCCGCAAGCGCCCTACCATGCCACCCCGTCAGTTAAACGCGCTAAAACCAACTCGGTGCGTAACATTGTAAAGTTTAAAAAGGCCCGCATAGGAATGGTTAATACGCCGGGTTTTATCGAGCTCGACTCTTCGCTGGATAGGACTGTAGTATGGTATTATAGAGGTAATACCGAGAACTATGTGAGTTATCCAACGTTTTTAGAGTCGATAAAACTCGAATTGATTGAAAAAATTAATTATTGCGTGCGTATTAACCCTATAAAATATAATTTGAAGTTGGAGAGCATATATGTACATAGGGAATTACCACCCGAGGATAGGGCTTTTAAAACCATGGCGAGGGAGGTATATATCCATAGCGATGTGAGTGCTATGGTCGATGAGGACTTTTCAGCACTCATGTCGGAGGAAGATAGGTATATGAAAAAGGGGTCAGGCTTCACCCTATCCACTATTGATGGCTTACTGTTAGGTATTTATGAACATACCCCTCTTGGAGGGTCTTCGTATATTCCACTACCGGAAAACATCATGCGGAAAAAGGCCGTCATTAATCCCATGAACATTGATGACGAGTGTTTCAAGTGGGCTATTCTAGCTAGACACGTGTCAGTAGGTCATCATAATCATGTAGGTCAAAAATATTATAATGAGGAGCATCGATACGATTTTTCTGAACTATCCTCCCCGACACCTGTTTCGGAAATCCATATATTCGAACGACGGAATAAGGGGGTGTCGGTAAACGTATACGGATTGAAACCTGGTAAGGGGGGTAAGGTGGGTAAGGGGAGTAAAGGGGGTAAGGATGGTAAGGGGGGAAAAGTCGGTAAGGAGAGTGTAGTGTATCCAATCAGGGTTGTTGAAAACGAGAAGGCTGAACATTTCGACCTTCTCGTAATTGAAGGCTCGGAATGGATGCACTACACCTACATTTCAAATTTTTCACGATTGGTACGAACCCAGAAAACATTACACACCAATCGACTTTTCATATGTAAACGATGTTTCACCTCGTTCGATGAGAGGGTTAAAAAAAATAAATTACGTGGTAATGAGGCTCTCCAACAACACATGATGCTATGCGGGCCGAATAAACCGATTTTACCTGTTATGCCGGAGGAGGGGGAAGTGCTCAAGTTTAACGGGTGGGGTAGCATGCAGCGTCATCCGTTTGTGATATACGCGGATTTTGAAGCCCTCCTGGAAAAACAGACGGAGCGGGTGGGGGCAAGCACTGACGGGATACATACACATCACCCAATGAGCTACGGGTACTTTGTCAAGGCGGCGGCGGACGTGCCAGTAGCGATTATGGAGAAATACGATATACCGCAGACGCCTGTCATATATCGTGGCTCGGAATCGCGTGACGAGGTGGCCAAACACTTTGTCGCCAGTGTGACCTCGCTCGCCATCAGGTTGGGGAACCTACTGAAAGCGACTAACGTGCCGATTTCGATGAGTGTGGAGGAACTGCGCGAGCATAACGCAAAGAGTGTGTGCGATATGTGCAAGTTGACGTTCACCGAGACCAGGTGTAAAGTCGCCGACCACTGTCATCTGTCGGGACGGCTGAGACACACACTTTGCGCCCCATGCAACCTCAAGCTCGTCACACCCAAGTTTGTGCCATGCTTCCTGCACAACCTATCGAAATATGACGCACACTTTATCGTAACCGAACTCGGTTACGATAAGGAGTCGATAACGGTGATCCCCAACAGTGAGGAGAACTACATCTCGTTCTCCAAACGCGTCTTACCCGACTTTAGTGTGAGGTTCTTGGACTCGTGTCGGTTCATGGCCTCGAGCTTGGCCGAGTTGGCCGGGAACCAGCTCACGAAGCCCGGTGAGTTTGAAAAGTTCCGCGAGACCGCCAAGGTGTTCCAGCCCGCCGACATGCCGCTCGTCACGCGAAAGGGCGTGTTTCCGTACGAGTATACCGACAAATGGTCGAGGCTCGAGGAGACCGCCTTGCCGCCGAAAAGTGAGTTCTATAGTATGTTGACCGAGAAGCACGTTAGTGACGAGGACTACGTACATGCGACGGAGGTGTGGCAGCATTTCAATTGCAAGACCCTCGGTGACTACAGCGACCTGTACCTGAAGGTTGACGTTCTCCTTCTGACCGACGTGATGGAGAACTTCCGCGACCTATGCATGTCGACGTACAACCTCGACCCCGTGTATTATTATACGGCGCCAGGGTTCACGTTCGACGCAATGTTGAGGTATACAGGCGTTTCACTGGAGTTGCTGACCGATTACGACATGGTGCTCTTCGTGGAACAAGGGATAAGAGGGGGGTTGGTCCAGGCCAGCGAGCGGTACTGTCGGGCAAACAACCCCAAGACGCCGGGGTACAATGTCGGGAAGCCACCGTCATGGCTCGTCTACCAGGATTGTAAATATACAACGCTTATACTATTAATTATTATATTACTAACTCTAAACCTTCTTACAGGCAACAACTTGTACGGCTATGCCATGGGGGAATACATCCCCTACGAAGGGTTCAAATGGTATGAGGGTGATTTGGATCGCTCTCTAGAGCTGTTGGACGGTATGACTGACAAATCTGACGTTGGGCGTATCTACGAGGTTGATATCGCATACCCAGACCACCTACATGACGCGCACAACGATCTCCCCTTCTTACCACGGAATGCCATACCCTCAGGCTCAAAAGTGAACAAGTTAATGGCTACGTTGGAGAGGAAAGAACGGTATATTGTTCACTATCGGAATTTAAAGCAGGCCATTTCTAATAATGGATTGATAGTGGAAAAAGTAATATATATATATATTTAATTCAACTTAATTACGAGAAATTAACCTCGATAAATAATTATAGGTTCACAGGGTGTTGGAATTCCAACAGTCGGAATGGCTTGCTAAATATATAAATCTAAATACCGAAATGAGAAAGAAGGCCAGCAACGAATTTGAACGTGATTTCTTCAAACTGTTGAACAACGCTGTGTTCGGTAAATATCTCAATGATATGAGCCCGTCATTGCTACACTATCATTGTACTATATGTACTTATTCTAATTTCCAGGGAAAACAATGGAATGTGTTAGAAATCGTATTTCTATGGAATTGGTGTCATGTCCACGTCGAATGCGCAAACTCATAAATAAACCCACCTTCAAACACGTCACCACGTACACCGAGAATCTGGCCGCCGTATCCCTACAACATAGTGACATACGTTTCTCCAAGCCTATTTACGTAGGGTTCGCCGTCCTGGAAATAAGCAAGGAGTTAATGTATGACTATCATTACAATGTGATGCGGCGGCATTACAACGATTCGATTAGACTGATGTACATGGATACAGGTATTTACGGGATAATAAATATTATTTACACTCATATATCTAACGTACGTAATGCATTTATAGATTCCCTGGTGTATCGGGTGTACACTGATGATTTCTATAAGGACCTGGTGGACAACCCCGCACTCCTCGAGCGGATGGACACCTCGAATCTCCCCGTAACACACCCGTGCTACGTTGCTACACGTAAGAAGATCCCCGGACTGTTCAAGGACGAGACGGCTGGCCGTACTATGTACGAGTTCATTGCACTTCAGGCGAAATCTTACGCGTACAAAATCGAAGGGGATGAAAAACTCGTGGCCAAGGGGATTCGAGGGCATGTGGTCCGAAATCATATGACGTTCGAGGACCACAAGCGCTGTCTGTTCGAGGTCGACGACGACGACGATGAGGAGAAGGAGGATGAGCTTAAACGACGTGCACGTCTGATGGCCCGATCGGTCATCAGCATGATACATGAGAATGCCGCCGCTGCTACCGCAGCCAACATTGCTGGCGTGAAATTCACTCCGACACCACTCCCTCCGTACACACCGTACAC